CGGCCGTGGTTTTTGTGTATTGTTTTGTTTCGAGTTGTATTTGGTTACGATGCTCACAAAATTGCACTTGAAATTTATCCCCGAGCCTTATTAGTTATTTACGCAGCAGGCGCACTCGCCGTAATGTGTGAGTGTTTGTGTGCGAATGGGGTGAGGGGTGGGGGAGGTCTGTGAAAATGCCCTAACGGCATTTTCGGTGAAAACCCAAGGACCTCCCTCAACACCACCCATTGCAGATTTATAGCCTGCAGCAGTTTTTAGTGCTCGTCCTTTGTTTCGTCCTGCGTTTTGTTTATTTGGTTTTGCAATTGTTAAAAGTTTATGTCGTTTTTGTTGCGGCTGTTGCATTTCGCACACACAGTTTCCACTTGGACCCGGCGAACAACAAGTTTTTGCTTTTGTTTTTTGTTTTATCGGGGGCGGGTGGGAGTGGCAGTGGCAGTGCCAGAAATATACACAAAATACTAGAAGCAAAACAAACAACAACAGTCTGAAACAAAAACGGTGGTATTTTTTGGGTTGCGCCAGTTGCGATTTTGTCGTTGTGATTTGTTCCAGTTATTTTTTGGCAACGTTGCTTAATTAAACGTGAACTATTGCCAGATGGAGTTTAAATATCGGGGAATTTTGTTTTCCGAATTCCGTAGCCATGAATATGGCAGCCAGATTTGACTAGAATGGTGAAGGAATATTATATTTCTGTATATACGTATTTAGAGTTCCAATTAACAGCGAAAAACCCTTTTCGGTTAGTACTTCCTTAGAGGCACATTATAATCACAAAGCAAAGCAAATTATTCTTACGCAACTTTGGCAATCATTTCCAGCTAACTCCAGTTTAATTTGTAAAATTGAACATAAGCTCTCGCCTTTCGGCAGCCTGCGGCTTTTGAAGTTCCTCGAACTTGTGCATTAATACCAATTTGCACTTGTCAATCAAGACAGCACTCCGCAGCCAGCAGAAACCTACAAAACTTCTAATGAGCCTAATTATTTCAACTATTTAGCCAAATACACAACATCTTGCGGCGGCTGAGAGGCAGGGGGAAAGCATTCCAATGCTTGCCAAATTTTGCTAATGATAAATAAATTATGCGGCAGCAGCCGCACAAAATGCCAAGCTCCGGTCTGCACCGCCCCAGAAACCACGAGCAGAAAACAAATAAACTCGCTTCGCAATGCCAAAAGATAAGTATACGCCCTGTGGTCCCTGTCCCTTGTTCCGAGGACATTAAAGCCCCGAGATTTTCGGTTCGGAGGTTCGAGGACTCGCCGAGCTTCGCAGAAGGGCGGGGTGGTATGAATGGTATCGCATTACCGAAGGCAAGCGTCGCACATGCGTTAATAAACAAAATCTGTTGCTAATGTACAAAATAAGTTAATTATGGCCACGCAAATGCGAAAATGCGAGGCGAAAATGCGAAATGCTCCGATGTTGGGGACAACTTTTCCAGCTTTTCGAAAACTCTCACTGACACTCCCGGTTATTCGGGGGTCGCACATATATAAATATATTATATATACATATATCCTGGGGCATGGGAATCGCCGGGGGTTCATAGTAAGAGGTGCACTTGCCCTGCACTCCGCTTTTGTTCTTTGTGCGCGATAATTGCATTTTATGGTTGTGGCAAGCAAACAAATAAACAAATGGAACACACACGCACACACACACATGGACATGGGATATATGGCAGCCATATCGCAGAAACAAATAATTACAAATTGCATTAATAATATACAAACACAGACGGCGGCTCTAAGCCTGCCCTCGGATAAAGGACCCCGATTCGATTTACCTTTTGGCAATTTTTGCGTGACTGGCATAATTGCTCGGTGGCTGAAATTGGTGGGCAGTGCCACGCCCACTCATATGTACATATGTATGTAAATATATGCCGCTGGCATTTACACAAATATCTGAGAGCAGAACCACATGAAATTTACATATTTTATTTGTAATTTGTTTGCCGCCCGTCAATATTATTTAGCAATTAATATTTCAATCATAACACTGAAAATATGAATGTGGTTTACTGTCTGATTTAACAAGAAAGTTACCCATTATCAATAAATGAAGAATAAATCTTGAAATTAAAAAGTAACTAACATTTCCTCTGGTATTTCTAGCCTCTAAATTCCGTATTTAATTAGTAATAACTGATAGTCAAATTGAAAATCAAAAGCATTTATCATGCGCAATACTGTGTATTTTATAGTCGTCATAAAGACCACTGTCAGAGAATCGATTTGGCCAGCAAAATGTCATATTTTTATTTGATTCATTCGAGCGAATGTCAAAATTATAGTTGAATTGCATTTTGTTGTTATTAGTGAGCAAATGGCGAAATTGATTACGAATGGGTGTGCTTATGGGATTTATGGGAATGTGTCCATGATTATTATGCACTTTCGGTGGAGTACGAGGGCTCAGCGGACCATGAATACACCCGGGCCAATGCCAGTTTCCGAGAGGCGGGAAAATCAAATCGAATTTATTGCTAATCCGCACAGCTCCCAATGCCCTGATTTATGGGCGCACTTCTTTCGGGGGAAAGTCCGTCGTCGATCAGAACAATGGCTGTTGCAGCCCATTTCGAGTTCTAATTCACTTTTACTAATACACCACTTTGCCGCTAACCCCAGCCCATTAACCCGACCCCATCCATTAGCAACGCGTCTAATAAAGCGCTGATGCCTCGGAATCTGGTTCCGATTTCACTTCCGAATCCGCCGATGCACTTCCCCGCCTGCAATCTCTTTTGGAATGGAGGCTGGAGAGCATTCGAGTGGAGTGCCAGGGAGACCAAAAGGGTCGCGGATCACAACGCACAAATCTCTTTGTCTCCGCTCCTTTCATGGCAATCCCTCCACGGGAGCCCAAAAATCTACTCCAAACGGAGATGCTGTAGTTTTGGACTTTAAATCACCAATAAATATATTTTATACGAAAATAAAATCAACTCAATGCTAAGAAGCACTTTAAAACTACTTAGAACTTGACATTATTTATTATTTTAATATTTCCGTTTTCAAATTTAGTTTTATTCAATACAATTTAACAGAAAAGCAATCAATTATTCTGTTAGGTAGTAGTTAAGTTAAGTTATTCAAATGTAAGTATTAAAAAAAGAGTAATGCTAATATATGTTACTCATAGTATCAAAGACTAGACCAAAAGTCTTTCAAAATACTTAAATAATTTTTTAAAACCAACTCGTTCAATTATTCTACTCAGGATAAAGCTTCAATTAAGTTTATTTAATCAAATTATACAAAAGCCTATGTTCATACCACAACATGTGCACTTTTTGATGACTTTTCACAACTAATTGCTATGAATAACTAACTTATTTATTTACACATTAAAAATGCTAAGAAATGACCTAAAAACACCAGTCAGAACAGCATCACCGATGGCAATCGAGGGAATGCACCGATGAAATGCGCTGCTTAAGCTGTTCATTAGCAGCCGAGTAATGGAGCAACAGCCTGACACAGATTTGCTTTGGCAAGTGCCGACGGCTCCTCCTCCGATCCTGCTTCTGCGGTCCTGCTCTCGTCCTTTAGTCTCCTCTTTAGTGGCATTGGATGTCATTCTATTCAGGTCGCCCCCGTTCGATTCGATTCCATTACCGAGGGCCCATAGTGTTCAGTTTTGTGGCCATGGCGACGACACGGCAGCCGGAGGGGTCATTAAAAAGTTTTTACAAGCCCCCTGAATCGGCATTAGCGTCTCTGCCGGAGGATGGAGCCTAGTGGAGTGGCGGGAAGTGGAGTGTGTTGTGTGTGCGGATCTGATGCCGATTCCGCTGCTGATTGTCATTGACAGCCAGGCGAGTGAGTGGATCCCATTGCCGCAGCAGTATCGATGCCCTTACCCCTTTTCTCTGCCGGATTGACACCTCGCCACCGCTTAGATATCGCTGCTAAACTGGCTGTCAATCCTTTTTATTGCCCAGCACTCTACCACTCTGCCACTCCGCCACACTCTCCAGATCTTTGCCACTTCGTCAATCAATTGTGCCCCTTTTATTTGTATTTTATTATGCCAAAGTGTTGTTCCGAATGTCATTTCAAGTATCGATTGTTTGTGTCTACACTCGGAGAAAGGGCTAATTATTTTTCGAATAATAAACCGAACAAAAAGATATTATTGTGAAGAAGAGCATCCAAATCTCGATGTACTTTAGGCATCAATCTTAGAGAATCCATATCTTTCGTATTATTTAAATTTGTTGAAAGGGGTTTTACTATCAATACAAATCATAAATCTTTGAAGTTCTATTGTATTTTTGTAAGAACTATATTTGTAACCATTTAAACTCCTCGGTGTACATTTGCGCTGGTTATGGTTCTCTTTTAATTCCCCATTTCAGTGGAGCGTGGGTTAAAACTAGAGTTTGGAGTCACATTTGAAGGCACTTAATTGAGCAGCCGTATCGGCATCGGACTTCGCAAAAAAAATATATATATATTGAAGTATAAGTGGAGCAGTCAACTGAGTTAGGGGTTGAGTGTGGTTGACAGTGTTGTTGGTCCTGCCTCCAAAATGCCCAGATACCACTTGAAAAGGGATGACAGCCCGGGAAAGAGCTGCTGAGTGGGGGAAACCCGACAAATACTTCATTAAATTGAACAAATGAAACACTTAAAGTGCGTTCCAATAGTGACGAATTTGTTGGTTTGATAAATGGTTAAGATCTAGCACTTTATTGAATGAGTTTAATTACATATATTGCTGGCTTGTAGTACTGTAAATTAATTAATCAGTGAAAACTACCTCTCATTAATTATTACAACTGCTAAACACCTGTCTAAAACATCTAATATATATTTTAATTACCTAAATTGCTTATAAAGAGGATCTATTTTTGAGACAATTTTGCAAGCATTCTTGCCATATGTTTTCATGGGAACTTTGATGTTTGCTACTCGGTAAACATTATCATTTGGCATTAAAATTAGACTAAACAAATCGAGGGGACTTGTGGACTTACCCGTGCTCAGCAGCAGAACGGCAAGGAGCAGCAGGAGGAATCCGTTTGGAATTATCCGGCAGTCTGGAAGTCTTCTCCGGCTCTGCCGATGTTGGTGTCGCATCTTGGGGATATCTCCGCCTCCGCCTCCGCCAGAGGCTTCATCTTCGGCGGCTGACAAATCTCCGCGGAGTTGCAATTCCAGCATTTCGAGGGGCGGGCAAATGTCTTGCATTTGCGGCGGCCAAGACAATTTAATAAACACTTCAACTTCGCACGCCGCACTGTCTGTTTTGATATTTTTTAGGGGCTGTGGGGGGAGCGATGGAAAATGGGGATGGGTCTTGGGGGAAATATGCAAATTATTTATGCCCGAGTGGCAGCGGCTTTGGGTTCTATTTGGCCTGGCAAATTGGCCATAAACAAAGTGTCTGTCTGGGCGCTGCCTGGGGAAGAGCGCGCTAATAAGCAGCCGGATAATTAATAATTTCCGCGCTCCGCTCTTTTCTTTCACTTTCACTCAAGCTGGCCTTCGATTGGCACTCGACGAATTTGCACATTTTGCTGATTGTTTACACATTTCAATTTCCGCCCATTAATTGCCGGCCGACGCTTTTCACTGATCTTCTTCTGCGCTTTTTCTTTTTGCTCCAGTTTTAGACGGAATCCATTTGGTGGCTTCACTCGAGCTAAACGACTCCTGTGTCCAGCTGTTTTCCGCTTTGCCCCGGAAGTGCTCTGCAAGGCGGAATAAATAATAACAATCACGCGTTAGTTGTTGTGCAATTAAATATATAGGCCAGCAGCTGTGCCCGCCGCACCACTTGTATTTGGCATGTAAACAACAAGGCGCACAACCGATACGAAACCCGAAATTAAACCAGACTCGTGGTGTATTCCCCGAGAGCGACAATCCGCGCCTACGACAAGTTGACAGACGACTGAGGAGTCCTAAGGACGTCCCCAAGAACACACCCCAAAAGACAGCAAGCGTTAGCGTTTCCAAAATTAGCACGCTGCACAATGGGGCGGATTACCACTGTTTCTGGGCAAAACTCACTATTTAAAAATTATACAAGTTATTATTTTATTAACCGGAATGTATTTTTAATATTTTTTTAAGTTTTAGAACGCTTATGCCTTCTGCTTTCCTGTCTGTCTTAAATGCCAAAACTAAACAACTCAATGCAACTTTTCGTTTGCTATCTTCTTCAAATGTGATTTCTAATATTTGTTTGTGAGTGGTAACTATAAAAATAAACTGTCATCTCGCTATAAACTTGTTTAATTTTAGTCCTAAAAAATATATACCTTTTTCGTGTTTTTATATTAAATACAACAAAAAGACAGTACAGCTCTCACCATTTCTAGAATTTGATATATGTATGTTGTAGGGTATTAAATTGCTTTTATATTGCGAATTTCTCTGAAATTTAACTTTAAAAGCCCTAACCGGCAATTAGATTAGATTAAATTAGATAAAAAAAACTAATCAAAGTTTACACTGAATAATAAAATGGAATCCTTAATAATAGGGGGACCCCTCTTTTTTCAAAAATATCTTCCTTTTCAATATTACTTTGTTGTAAAATTATTCATTTATTTTACTAAAGTGGTCGTTAGTCCCATAGTCCTCTGGAAGTGCCGGCGGCAGCATGTTGCTGGCGCCGCTGGAACGCAAGCAACATGTTGCTAGAGGCAGTCAGCCAAAGGGAAGACATCTGTTAGAAGATTTTATGTATATAAGAGATATTTTTAAATAATAATAAATTTTGTAAAAATTTAAAAATGTTAAAAAAAAATGGAATTAAACACTTTACAAGTTATATATTTCTGCTTCAATAAGTTTCCAATATACAATCATATCTATACATACGATGATTATTTGTAAACGTTTAAGACTAAGTAACAATATTATTCTTAATAATAATGAATTTTATAATATTTATAAATGTTTTTTACACTCACATGTTATATGTTTACTTTAAATAATAAATAAGCTAATATGATATAATATAAAAACAAACCCTGAGTTTAAAAAATACATTTTTTCTGCACGATTTCCTTTAATATTCCAAAGTGAGTTGTTTGCATGAAAAATACCATCCTCTCAAGCAAATTTTCCCCTTTCCAACAACAGCACTGGCGTAAGCCAATATGATAAACAATAACAAATCATCTAAACACAAAAAGCGGCAGGCAAACAAACCAAAAAGCGGAGTTTAATTTAACGAGAACAAAGTGTGTTCTTTGTGAGTTCTTTGAGTTTTTGTCCCTGCTAATGAGGCTGTGCACAAGTGGCAGGCCGGCCCTTCAGCCTCGTGTATGTTACTCCTCGCAAATATATGTACATATAGTATGTGCTTAACCCTTTCAGGGCGACTGGAGGATGCGGCCACTTAACCCGTTACGGCTACTGTTGGCTCTCCGCCCTGCGGTCGCTACTCTGGCGTTTTGTTTATTTAAGTTGCAATTACTTTTTGCCACCCCACCGCGACGCCTGCATGCAACAAATGCTGCGCCATTGAATGTCCCGTGTTTTGTAAGTCTTTAGCGAGTGTGTGTGTGTGTGTGCGTACTGGGGGTGAGTGCGAAGGTTGCCCCCTACTCATAAGGGGGAAATACAACTAGATCCACTCAAGTGCAATGACATCATGGCAAGCATTCATAATGCTCATTAGCCAGCCCCCTTCGGAAGTGTTCCCTAACCCATAACCCGTTCGCCGGTGGCCATGTCAAAATGCAATTTTTATGTGGCACACGCGCTGCAATGTTTCTGGCAGCTTATCGATGCCGTCTTCATTTTCCCAACGACTTTCTTGCACACTGGGAAAATCATAATTTCCACATCTTGTAAGAAGCCAAAAAAATCATATAACCTTGGTAATAGAAATCGTTTTGATCAGCATATTCCCTAGTTCCTGGTTGATGCACTCCTTTCCATTGTCCTTTCATTGTAGAGGATTTAAGTCCCTTCACTATATAGACTCCCTGCCATTATCCTTCAGTTGTTCCAAATAAGCGTCTAAATTAACTATTTTATCACTAAAACTACAGCACAGGCCGCTTTGTAGGTATTTAATTACTTTCGAAACAAAGACTAGGTCTAAGCATCATGCTTAGTTGCAGATTCTGGGTATTATTCTCAACTATTATAATCATTTAATTAGTTATCATTCAGCAGAAGATGACTTTCGGCAGTATAAACTCAAAGCTATTCACAGTGAATTTCAGTTGCTGGTTAAAGTATTATAGGTTATAAGATAACTTTCTAAGTTATATCTTTGTAAATTAAAGTATACCTTCCTGTTCTACTATATTTTATTAACTTTATTTTCATTTTCTGAGTGCACCCACTCACCACTTGGTTTTTATGGCCAGCATGCAGCACACCTCGATTAATGCATATATATATATAGTATGGCTGGATCCCCGAATGGAGCTATATGCCACAACAACATGCCCATGCACTTAGCCGTTTTATAGTATTGTATGTCTCCATGTCGAGGGAGAGTCTACATCCACTGCCACTGCCACTGCCACTTCCAACCCCTTGACAAACGCAACACGTGCGATTTGAGAATTTTATAAAAGTGTTTATTGGCCTCCTCAAGATGCCCCTCTGTCCAGTTTCTCCCCCAGCAAACGGCAGCTCGCTGACATTGACGACGCTGACAAGTTTTTAGTGCTCCAATGAAAATTAAAACACATAAAAATGGCTGAGAAACCGCACAATTAAATGGCGAATTGGCGGCTCCTCCGGAGAACCATATGGGTGTGTACTATATTGTTATGTAGCGTCTACCGAGAGCAATAAACGATACTCGGTGTTTACGGCGGACTCAAGGCCGTTTTCCTGAACACGGTTAAATTTTCCGCAGGGAAAAGTGACTAATTAATTTCAGTTAAAGGTTCTATGAAAGGTGTAAAGTGTTAAAAAAATAGTAAGATATTCAAAATGTTGTAGGCTATAATAAGATGGAAGATAATATGATGGAAGTAAATAACTACTTTCGTTCTGACTTCAGGCTTCAGTTTCTCATCATATTTTTTTCGAAAAGAAACTAATGACAAACAAATGAACCATTTAAGCAATTACACTCTAGTTTTGAAAAAACCCCACTGCATTGGTCTCGAAAATATTAGAGTCAAAGGGAAATTCTGCTATTAAAAAACCCATGAATATCCTCGATGGGTCTCGTGCACATTTGAATGTTTGGGACCGTATCTGAGTTCCGTGTCGCTTTTGCTGGCAGCTCTCGTCTCAGTCTCATTGTCATTGCACACATTGTTGCTCTATTTAAAGCGGACTCGCACTTGCAATCTAGCACCTTGCGGTCCATTGTGGCAGACAATTTGGTATTCGATGTAGCTACGAGTAGTTCGTAGTTGTAGCAACGAACACGCGATGACATCGCACCACAGAGAGACCTGTCTGCATCGTCCTGCGCCCTGCTCCCTGCGCCCTGCGCTCGGGGTCCTTTTGTCAAACCGAAAAATGCAAATTTTCTTTGACATGGGCAAGTACGAGATAATAATTTCCCCACACATGCCAACTGTCTAGTGGGGATGTTCTGCACTGTGGAAAAAAACAGTGACTTATAGTGTTGTACTCATTCCTTAATAATTTGAATACAACTAACTTTTACAATAATTTTCAAAATAAGCATTTAAGTAACATTTAAAACACCATATGCCCGATATTAATATAAATTAAAACTCTGAAAAAAATATATTTAAAAACAAATGCATCCATAGTTTATTATTATTTCTTTAATGTTTTCCAGTATATTTCCATCAACTGGCTTCATAGAACTCTGACAATTTCCTGTTGCTGCTGAATGTACTCAGCATCGAAGGCAGTGCCTGCCTTTGTATCTTGGTCGCATTGAAGGCTTCGTACATAAATTTATGCGTCACCTTGGTATCAATTAAAGGCTTCCAAGTGCTGAGAATGGAACGCTTTTTATTCCATACCATCGAGTTACAATTAGATGATTGGTTGCCCGGCATTTCGGGGCAGGCAACGTAATGGTAATGGCCATAATATGTAATTCAGCGCATTCCCCGCAGATACAAATGTATCTCGAAATGCATCCTTGGCATGTTAATCGATTCGCCCGTTGGCCTAAGTGCGATTTCGCTTTGATTAGCGTTGCACAATTATACGCTGGCTGTAATCGAATGCAACTGCAGCTGCAGATGCATCTGGCGGATGCATTTCCCGCATAGCAGGACCAAATCAGAATCCGAATTAGATGCCAGTTGGACAATGAGACACTCGCAGGCGGAATGCAAATGTGACATGTTTCCAACCCATCACGCTCTTGGGCCTCTCTGGAATTACTCGAAATGTGCAACAAAACTTCTTTTTTGCCCTAAAGAAAGTAATTCTGGAGCGGAATCCGATCAAGTTGAAACTTAAAATGATGAATGTCTATCTTCATAACTTTTGATACTGAATATAAAGACTATGCTTGTTTAAATTTGATATCACTGATTCTAAATTAAAATAATTTAAATTAATTTTCAGCAAAAATAGAATACAAAAATAATACTTTGAAGATCAAATTGGAAACCATAATATAAATTTCATTTTAAACCACTTTCCATCAAAAATTCACCACTGAATATTCAGTTAAAGATGAAATTGATTTTGTTTGTGTATGCGGTTAATCGTCTGGCTTTGTTGTTTGTTTCAATAAATAAATTAACCATCAGAGATCAACGAAGGATTG